CTAAAAAAATGCCAACAAAAAGGACACTTAACATCAAGAAGAGACAATTGAAATTTCTAGGGCACATGATGAAGAAAGACGGCTTGGAAAATTTGATACTCACAGGAAAGATTGGAAGCAAGAGTGACACAAGAAAACAACGCATAACCTACTCGGCGAGCTTGTATAGTGATTTTTCCGAGCGTAGCTTAGATGTGGCACAAGGCCGAAAGTAGGGGGCACTCAGTGAGGCACTAACTCACTACTTAGTCGTAATTGTTCTATCGAGACAAGCTTGCTAACCATTACACCGCGTCGGGGTGTCCTCTGGCAAGCTTGTATAAATGGATGGTGGAACAAGGTTTTAGGGAGATAACAAAAAGATAAAAATTTATTAATAGCAATAAAGACAGGAAATTGTGGAGAGCCATGATTGTCAAAGTCCTGAAAGGACACGGCACATAAAAGAAGAATGTAAACATTTTGTTTTGACTTTAAATACAGATTTTTTGTTTGATTTTTGCTTGTATTTACTTCTCTCGACATTTTTAAAAAAAACATAAAACTTATATAGAAATTTTAGGAGCTAAGGTTTGAAAGATAAGTATAATAAAACGAAAATACTGTTTTCATATTTATTTTGAAAATTAATGACAGTATAATCATTTTCGGCAAATAATTCCTACAGAAGATAGTGAAGGAAAGCATGAAGAAAGGACTAAATGTCAACTGCAAAAGACAGTATACATGGTTGTCAGCTAAAGAAACAGTCCAACATACAAATTACACCATTGGAGATACCAAAATCAAACAAGTACAACAGTTTAAATATCTGGAAACTGTTTTAACAGATAGAAAACGTGACACCGAAATCCGAAAGGCCCATTGAGATAGCGCCAAATGCCTTCCAAAAGCTAAGTTAAGTATTAAGAAACAGGAAAATTTTTGTTAGAAACAATGAAAAGTGTACTGAACTGTTATGTAATGTCAGTCTTCATATATGGCAGCGAATGCTTGACCATCTTTTCAAAGATGAATAAGAAACTTGAGGCGATAGAAATGTGGTTCTACAGAAGGATGCTGAGAATACAATGGACTGAACATAGCAATTATGAAGTTTTATAAAAAATGGAAACAAAACAGATTCTTATACTTAAGGGGTAGTTTAAATTTCTGGAGCACATAATAAGGAAAGGGGGCTTGGAAATTTTGACACTCACAAGACATTGAAGGCAAGTGGGACAGATGAAAACAGCGTAAAACCTACCTAACGAGCTTGTGTAAATGGTTGGCAGAACAGGGATTAGGAGAGATAGCAAACGGACAATATTTACTAAGTGTTATAAAAGATAGGGGGTTGTGTAGAGCCATGATTGTCAATGTCCTGAAGGGACATGGCACATAGAAGAAGAAGAAGTAAAAGAAGAAGAAGAACAAGAAGAATATACAGCTCAGCTCAATAGTACTGACGTAGATTGGGACCAAAAGGATAAAATTAGTCCTCATATGCAAAAAGATTTAATGGGGGAGTGAAGTTTCCTCCCAAGCCCTGCGAATGGTAGGAAATTAATTATCTATGCTGTTAACTGTAAGCTCGTAGAATTGAATTGAGTATCCTATAATAATTTTGATTGTCCCTCTTTCAATTCCTTGGGTAGCACTTACTTTAGGCCCTGCTAATATATCATAAATAATGGACTATTCCGTTTTGTTCCAGGGGAAAGACATATCAGAGGCGCTGTTTGGGTTCAGTGAAAGATAAAAAGAAAGAAACATTCTGTCAGTACCTCGTAGATATTGGACTATTTCGTTCTGATCGTGTAGAAAGACAGAAAAGACATATTAGAGACGCTGCTTGGTTTCACTGTGAAAATTAATGAAAGAAAGAAAGAAAGAAAGAAAGAAAGATAGAAGAGGCGACAACTGTCTTATGTGTTTAACGTCTGTTTTAGTGAAATGGAAAAAGTTTCAATTTCAAATGTTTTTATTCGTACCCCCTTACTTCTTAAAATAACGACCACAATATTTTATTAAAGTTGTTAAGCTGAAATATTTAGCGGTAGGAGAATTTCTATAGATATTTTCTTGTCGTAGAACTCGCCATGAGCTTACTCAGTCATAAACTTAAGAATTAGATTCATCAGAAAACGCAAATCGGGAAACCGTGATGTTTTCACGCGTATTTCTAATAATATCATAATTCTGACTGTTCTTTAATTACTTATCACTTACACTACGCCCTACCATTACCTCAGAAACTAATGAACCGTTCCTATTTGACTGCGAGGATAGACAGAAAAATAGAAACAAAAGCTCTGTTTTGTTTTACGGAAAGGAAGTTAAAAGAAAGAAAGAAAAAAGAAGGGAAAAAGATAGGGGCGGTGATAACGTTCGCATTATGTGTTTAACGTCTGCTTCAGTGAAAAATGAAAAACCTTGTAAATTTGGAATCTTTTCATTTGTACCCTTTTTAAAAAAAATCATTTCAAGTAAGGCAATAAAGCCACTAAGACGCAAGGGGATACTAAGTGTTAAAGAATATGAGAAGAAAAACACTATTAAGAAGAAAGAATAATAAAAGAACGAGGATTAAGAAAACAGAAGATACCGATTGACATCGCATTTAATATTTTGAATAATAACATGCCTTCATATTTATGACTGTTATTATAATATTCCGTTAAAGTTAAGCTTAAATATTTAACAAGGCAATAGGGGTGTTTCCATGGGTATTTTATCGTCATGAAACTCACAAGGAGCTTTTTCAATCATTAACTTAGGAATTAAAATAGGACAAACTGCGAAATTTTAATGCGAGTTACTAGTAATATTAAAGAAATCAATATTTAAAAATTAATAATGAAAATACTTTATATAAGAAATTCATGGTCAAAGCTATTTTTTTTTTGTTGCTATGAGCTATAAACAAATGCCTTATAGTAAAAATCGTATAATGTCAATGTCTAAATTTAAATAGCATTTGTAGCCAGGTTTTCATAGTCTTATTGATACAGCGCTGTCTTGATTTTCAAAGATACGGGACGCGAGTTCAAATTCTAAATGAAAGCTAATTGCTAGCTTATTTATGCCGCTTAATGGTTGTAGAATATAAAAAGCGACCTGAAAAGCACTAGTCAAATAATTAATGAAGAAATGGAATGTTTTAAGTATAGAAGAGCCTCGGTTTCGTTTAAAACAAAGAAAAAGCAACAGAAAATATCACACGGGAACGCTGAAGAGAATTTCAGTTTGTTTCAAATAATACCTCTGTCCATTAACATTGTTATTTCTAAAGATTATCTTTTCGGCAGAATACTGAGAATTAGGTAGGCAACAAGTATTAAAGAAAATGGAAACAATAAAAGAATGCTTATGCTCAGAATTAGGAATAGACTTAAATTACGGGGACACATAATGAACGAAGGCTTAGAAAACTAAACACTCACAGGGCATATTGAGGGCAAGATATATAGAAGGTAGTAAGCCATCTATCTGACGAGCTTGGGTGAAAGTATGGCGGAAGGGGGTGTCTTAGCAAATGTAGAAAAACTGCTAAGGTGCCACAAAGGATAGAAAATTTTAGAGAGCCATGATCGCCCATGTCTTGAAAGGACGCGGCATATAAAAGATGAAGATCTTTGACACAAGGTTCAAAATATGGAGCACTCAGTGAGGGTCAAACACACGACATAATATTAGCGAACTGGTGCGTGCCATTTACTAAGTTTAACTTAGGCACAAGACTACAAGTATGGGACACCCAGTGAGGATCAAATCTATTGTAATGACCTGTGAGACAGGCTTGTTAATCGTTACCTTGCGCAGATAGTTTGTAAATCCCACGGAAAGCAATTCAGGAATTAATTAATTTATTTAAAAACAAATTTAAGGGTAGACGCAAAGAAATAAAAAAAGAAAGAAAAAAGAAAGAAAGCAATTCAGGAATTAATTTACTTAAAATCAAATTCAAAGGCAGAAAGAAAGAAAGAAAGAAAGAAAGAAAGAAAGAAAGAAAGAAAGAAAGAAAGAAATTCAGGAATTAATTTATTTAAAATCAGATTCAAAGGTAAAAAGAAAGAAAGAAAGAAAGAAAGGAAGGAAGAAATTCAAGAATTAATTTATTTAAAATCAAATTCAAGGGTAAACGCAAGGAAAGAAAGAAAGAACAAGGAATTAAAGAAAGGACAAGATGCAATACAAGAAGGAAAGAGAAAAAGAAAGAGAAAAAGGAAAAGAAACGCGAAAGAAAGAAACAGAAAAGTGAAAGAAAAAGAAAATAGAAAGTAAGAAAGAACAAAAAGAAAGAAAGAGAGTAGATGCAATAAAAGAAAAAAAAGTAGGGAAAAGAAGAAAGGAAAAGAAAGACAAAGACCCCAGAAAGAAAACGAAATAGAAAGTAATAGAAAGAAAGGTGGAAAAAGAAAGCCAAGACAAAAAGAAAATGATGTAAATAAAAGAAAGAATGAAAGAAAAGACAAATTAGACGAAAGGACGGACAAACATTTAAAAATATTAAATATTAAATATTTTTTTTTGTCTTTTAATTATTGAATGAAAGAAAAGAGTACTGAAAAGAAAAGTCGTTTCGACGATATAAAATTAAAAAAAAAATCAAATATCCCATTAAAAAAAGCTGTTGGGAATTATTTACAAGTTTGGCACAAGACCATGGTAGTGTAAGCTCTCCAGCGGAGATGAAACTCACTAAACTACGAGATTAATTTAACAATAACATTCACGCCCCGATAGTCTCCCCAAAGTAACAAAATAAATGCTCGAAAATATTTTCTGTACTTACCGTTTGTCTAGAAGACGCTGGCTGTTTTTGCCCGTGTATCGCTAAACCTGCGTTCAGGGCCGCCGAACGCACGTGTCAAAAGGACAAAACCATGACCACGAAATGCTGCTCGACAACGCAACAGTCCAGTATTAAAGACTCATTTTACATAGGAATAAATAAAGCCTCCTGCTACTTCCTTCCCTCCTTGAAAAAAGGCTTCTGATAAAGTCGATTGCTTCAGCCATTTCACCCATCATTCTTCTGTTTTGTTTACGACCTGTTTGCCCGCCGCCCGTCAGCCGATCCTTCCATCTATCTGTCGGGCCGTCTTTCCGTCGTTCTATGGCTGTTGGAGGTTTGGTTGATCGTATGTGTACGTTAGCAACCAATGATAGTAAATTATAGTTGCCTCCCTTGCTCTTTATAAACATCTTAGATTTACAGTTCTTTCTTTCTTTCTTTCTTTTTTTCTTTCTTTCTTTCTTTCTTTCTTTCTTTCTTTCTTTCTTTCTTTCTTTCTTTCTTTCTTTCTTTCTTTTCCTTTATTTCTTCCATTTCTCTCTTTTTCTTACCTTTTTTTCTTTCTTTCATTGGTTGTCTCTTTCTTTTTGCGACTATTTTTCTTTCTCCTGTTTCTTTCTGTTTTCCTTTTTCCTTCTTCCTTTCAATTATTTTCTTTCTCTTAACGTTCTTTCTTTTTTCTTCTTTTCCACCATTTTTCTCTTTCTTTCTTTCTTTCTTTCTTTCTTTCTTTCTTTCTTTCTTTCTTTCTTTCTTTCTTTCTTTCTTTCTTTCTTTTTCATTCCTTCTTTCCTTTCTTCCTTCCTCCCTTTTTATTTTTTCATTTCGTTCATTTTTCTTTCTCATATTACTTTTCTTTTTTCTTTCTTTTATTACCCTTTTTCTTTCTTTCTTTCTTTCTTTCTTTCTTTCTTTCTTTCTTTCTTTCTTTCTTTACCTTTGTTTATTTCTTTCATTTTTCTTTCTTTTTTCTTTCTTCCTTTTATTACCTTTGTTTGTCTCTTTCATTCTTTCTCTCTTTCTTTCATTACCTTTCCTTCGTTCTTTCGTTTTCCCCCTCTTTCCCCTTCTTTCATTCTGTTTTTCTATTCACTTTTTTGTATTGAAGATTTCCTCTTTTTTTTCTTCTTCTACTCAAGTCCTTCATTTTCTAACTCTCTTTCCCTCCCCGCTAAATCGTCTTTTTCCTCTTTTGCTCTGACTTACTCCCCCAGTTGTATTCTTTCCTATGTCCCCACTCTCTCGTTTCTCCTTACTTCTCCCGCTTGCGATTACCAACTCCTCTCTGTTACTAGAATATTGTTTTCTCCCATTTTGTTTTGTTACCGTAGTCTCGCGTCTTTTTACCTCTTTTAACACTTTTTTTTAAAACTCTATGTTTGGTTTGGTTTCATTCGTGTATCTCAGGTTTTCGGATATCTGTCTTATCTTCCCAACCTCAAGATAATTTGCTTCCTACAATTTTGTTTTAGTATTTTAGCGTCTTTTCTCTCTTTGCCTCCTTTCTTTATAGCGTTGTTAATAGTATTTATTTTTTCTTTATACTCAGCTATTTTTCCTTCCTTATAAGACGCCCTTTCAAATAAAAGATTTCCTTTTTTTACTCCGTTTACCAAAAACACTTTTGTTCGTAATTCTATTCGACATACTTCTAATATTCCATATAATTATTCTGCATCATTTCAGCATCAATACAAGTCCAAATTTTTCTTTCTTTCTTCTTGCGACCATTTTTCGTTCTCCTATGGTATATTTTCTCTTTTCCTTTTCTTTCTTTCTTTCTTTCTTTCTTTCTTTTGCGACCATTTTTCGTTTCCTATTTTATCTTTTCTCTTTCCTTTCTTTCTTTCTTTCTTTCTTTTTTTTTCTTTCTTTCTTTCTTTTCTTTTCTTTCTTTTTTCTTTCGACCATTTTTTCTAATATTGTTTCTTTTTCATTTTTCTTCTTTTTTCTTTTCTTTCTTTTCTTTTTCTTTCTTTCTTTCTTTCTTTCTTTCGACCATTTTTCATTCTAATATTGTTTCTTTTCTTTTTTTCTTTTCCTTCTTTCTTTCAATTATTTTCTCTCTCTCTTATTAACGTTCTTTCTTTCTTTCTTCTTGCGACCATTTTCGTTCTCCTATTGTATATTATGGAGCTTGAATGATTGTTTAGCGCACAAATACTGATAGCCATATTTAAAAATCTGGTCGATTATCCCAGCTTGTCAGACTTTCTTTCTTCCTTCCTTTCTTTCTTTCTTTCTTTCTTTTGATCCATTTTCTTTATCCTTTATTTCAAGCAATGTAAATAGATAATTTCTTTTTTATTAAAGTTCAACTAATACAAGAGCCACTCAAGGTAGAAGGTTACTTAATGTAGTGCATGATATGACAGAAAAAGGAACCAGTAAAAAGTAAAATTAAGAGGATAATTTTGGGAAATCCACCTCTTTTCCCCTCAGTTATGAGTTATTTATTAAGACATTTGCGCCCTGAGCGACTCAGTATAAAAGTAAATGGCTCACTCTTTTTTTTTTCTACGGAATCTAATAGCGACACTACGGATGAAATTTCTGTGTTAGGACAGAATTTTCTTGCCCAACTCCTAGAAACTCTCAAAAAATAAATTATCTCAGGGTGTATTATAATTTGTCCGTTGCAACAAGCTGAAGCAAAATTTCTTTCAATAATAAATATTAGCGAACATTAAAAAAAAACCCCAAAAAACCCTATGACAATGAAGATAGTGATCAAATCTGGTATAATTGGCTAAAAAAAAACAAACAATCATAGTATTTTTTTATATCAAATTTATCCGAAGCAAGGCAGTAAAGCCACTAAAAAACAAGGGGTTACTCGGTGTAAAAAATTAGAAAACAGAAACATTACTAAGGAGCGAGAACACTAGAAGAGTAATCAGGAAGACAGGTACCGTATTTTCCGGCTTACAAGACGCCCCCACCAAATACCCTGAAAGATTCATTTGCGTCTTCCAAGACGAATGTAAGGCTCAAGTAAGCTTGGACGGTCACCTAATTAGCTTAATTGATAAGGACGTGGATTTGTATGATGATTCATTAAACTCTAATGTTAGCTATCTATCTAATTCAGGATTTTATATGATTCAATCTCAGTACTTAGCTGATACAAGTATTTACAAGACTATAAACCTTCCTGGAGCCGAGCCACAAACTTAAACATGCTCTGTTTACTAGCAGAGAGCCTTTCTGCTCTTGTCATTGCCATACAAACAAAATCGGACGAGTGATAGCAATACGTGGCATCAGTATGTGAAACACTCATGGTGAATGTGTTATATGAGAATGACTTTTTTTTTTTTTAATATTACAATACGTCTTCCAAATTGCAGCGTCTTGTAAACCAGAAAATACGGTATATAACGCATTGAATTTAAATATTTGGCGATCAAAATTAACTGGGAAGCATGGAGCCGGAAGAGACTTCTACAAGCGAGAAGTGCGAGAAAAGGAACTGTTATCATAGAACTTACGTTACATCTAGCCAATTCAACTAGAAATTGATGAGACTTTGTTGTTAATCTAGTACTGTGCATAGATTCATAAAGTCTAGGTACCATAGCGGAGAGTTCATCCGAACAACTGCTATAAAAGTTTTTATAGAAAAAGCACAGTGAAGCAACCCCCAGAGGAAGTTCAAGAGGGATGTTACTAGAATTTTTGGAAACCTGTCAGGATAGTAAAAAGAAGAACGTTAAATAAAAACAGTAGCAAAACTTGGAACAATCTTACCACTTTCCAACGTAATACCTTTCGTCATCTTGGCAATGATGATTCGATCGTCATTAAAATGGCGCCATTGCTATCTATCTATCTATCTATCTATCTATCATCATAATAATAATAATAATAATAATAATAATAATAAAAGTTTGTGATTCGTGCATGCTTGTGTGGTGTGTGTGTCCGGCACATAATGATGACATAATTGATACAGCATTTTTTTTAACTTTCTTCAAACAGAGAATTTTTTTTAATTAAAATATTTTTAAGTTAAAGACAGCTGTTTCGTCCAGTTGTTTGTAGAGTAATTATTTATATTTTCGCTTTCGTTAAACAGAAAATATTTTAAAAAAGTATTTTTTTTGGTATATTTAAAAATTATTTTCAAGTGAATATAATTTAGAACTATTTTTTGGCATATTAAAAAATATTTTAAAGTTAATCTGATTTTAAAATAGTTTAAGTGAATAAGATTTAAAAATACGATTTGTTTATACAGTAAGTATTTTTATTTCAACTTTCTTCAAATGTTTCATAACCTGAACGGGTCACGGATAGTCTAGTTATGAATAAAGATGGTTATATTTCAGCTTGTGAAGATGTTTAAGTAACAAAAAATGTTGTTTTTTAGTCGATAAGTTTGTCTACATAGGGAAACGTCGTCAGTGAAGAATTTTTTTTTAATTAAAATATTCTTAAGTTAAAGACAGCCACAAAGAGATCCCAGCTTGGCTGTTTCGTCCAGTTTCGTTAAACAGAAAATATTTTTAAAAAGTATTTTTTTTTGGATACGTCGTCAGCGAAGATGGTAGGGGACAAATGAAGACATCAAGGGCCAAATCAACAAAGCCCGACAGGTTTTTAATACCACTCTGCGGCCAATCTGGAAATCAACAGCCATCTCACTTTGCAACAAGGTCCAGATCTCCAACACCAGTGTCAAGTCGATCCTACTCTACGGCTCAGAAACCTGGGGAGTAGCCAAGACCAACACCCACAAACTTCAGATATTTACCAACCGATGTCTCAGGAACATTCTCAATATTAGATGGCTGGAAGTCGTCTTTGAGACAGGACCAGATAAGCCCCAATCAAGAGTGACATCAAGAAATGAAAATGGGGATGGATCGGCCACACACTCTGCAAGCCTGCTTCTAGTGTCACCAGACAGGCCATTGAGTGGAATCCACAAGAGAAGCGAATAGTAGGCCGACCAAAACGGACTTGGCGCAGAAGTGTTGACGCAGAAAGTAAAGGCAGACGGCACGACATGGGCCGAGCTGGAGAGGATCGCCTGGAACTGCGTCCGTTGGAGAGGTGCTGTTGCGACCTTATGTTTCCTTAGGAATCAAGAGGCATAATAAAAAAAAAATAAATGAAGAACTAAAAACAGACCTTAAACAGAAAAAAAAATGCTTGACAAGTTAATTTCTGAAATTAAACGGAATCCAAACTATTACATTCAGAACAAAGGGGATGCCAGGCTACAATGAGCAATAAAAACATTATTATTCATGGGAAAGGCATGAATCCATCTCTCCCAGTAACAGATTCGGATACGATCACCGAAGTTAAGCAATATCGAGTCTGGTCAGTACCTAGATGGGTGAACGTTTGGGAATACCAGGTGCTGTAAGCATGGATATGCGGATGGTGTAATCGATAAAGGCTGAGAATTTTTAATCGGAGAGCTGAATTTCAATTCTAGTTGGGCTTCTTATATTCACTTATGTGCAAATACCCATCGGGAAAGGTATGAATCCACCTCTTCTCCCCATCTATGGGTTAATTAGTAAGACTTGTATCACTAAAACCATTATTATGGCCAAGAAAAAAGTATAAAATCTAAAAATATTGTTTGCCTTTAAATAACCAACAAAGGATTGATAAACCGTAGAAAATGAATCAATCAATTAATGAATTAAATACTGATTATCTACACAGGCAAGTCTTATAGATTTATTTACACTACCGTGGTTACAAAGTGAGGGATCAGTCTATATATTGATTGTAATATAAAATTGATCCCCCACTTTATAGCCTCGCTATCATTTATTGAAGTCAAATCATAAATTTATTTACATTCTCTGGACTATAAATGTATAAAAACTACCGTGGTTACAAAGTGAGGGATGAGTTTATATATTGATTGTAATATAAAACTGAACCTCCACTTTATAGCCACGTTATCATTTATTGTATGCAAGTCTGATAGATTTATTTACATTCTCTGGACTATAAATGTATAAAACTATTGTGGCTACAAAGCCAGGGATCAGTTTATATATTGATTGTAATATAAAATTCATTCCCCCACTTTATATCAACATTATAATGTTTGTTTATCAAATTCTGATTAGGTATGAATCCGCCTTTTCTCCCCGAGCTATGGGTTAATTAGGAAGCCTTGCATCACTAAAACCATTACTATCGTTAAAGAAATCTTAAAATCTAAAAATATTTTCTGGCCTTAAATAGCCTGCAAAAGGTTGATAAACCTTAAAAAACGAATCAATCAAACCAACAACTTCTCGCATGTTACATGGAGAGGAGACGGACATGATCACATAAACTACTATAGTTTAAGAAATGTCATGAAAAACCTGGCCTATTGATAATTGTATTTCAAATACTTTTCCTTTAATATAAACTACATCAAAATACGCGATCCTCACTGAATACCCCATACTTTCGGCCTTGTGCCATATCTATGCTGCGCTTAGAAAACCATCACTACATCAACGTATGCAAGTTAATAAAAACGGAAACCAGTATATCTGCCTCGTATTCCAAAAACAAATTCAGCACAACTTTCAAATTCTGAATGCTGCTACCAATATCATTTTTTGTGTAAATTCTCTTGAAAACTGCACGAATCAAGTTTTTTTCCTATCCCATTACAAGTTATTTTAACTAATGTCTTGTCCCAGGCATGTCATAACAACAAAAAAAATTAATTCAATATCCATTACAACTGTTGGGCACAAATGATGTGATTTCTGCTATTTGGTACAGTTCTTTGTTTGTGATTCTGTAGCGCCAGACACCAAGGTTTGAAGAAGAGCTACTGTTGAAAGTCCTTAAGTTATTTGGTACAGTGCTTTGTGATTCTGTAGCGCCAGCGCCCGAGTTTTGAAAAAGTCTGCTGTTGAAAGTCCTCAAGTGATGTGGTTTCTGTTATTTGGTACAGTTCTTTGTTTGTGATTCTGTAGCGCCAGTGGACGAGGGGAATTATCGTTGAACCTTTAAAAGGTAAGCTTAAATATTAATGCAATACTTAAATGTAGCGATCAATTTTGAGTTCTTCTATTGTTGCCTATTGCATTCAGCAGCAGTATGCCTCGCAAAAAGGAATCTACGCCAACAGAGGACCAGATTGCAACCAAAAGAACCAAGGCTGCAGCAAGGAAAAGAAAGTCCTGCGCAAATGAAAACCCATATCAAACAGCAGTTAAAAGATCTTCAAACGCTGAGAATATGCAAAGACTTAGGGACTATCAAAATCCTGAACAAGCCGAAGGGCCAATCAAGAGACCTACACAAGAGCTAGCTTAATTGCCGCCCGATAGAACGACTTTTTAGCTAGTTCTTGATATCTGTTAGTTGATCATTATTGCTGTGAATACGATCTTCACTGTGTCTCCCATACTAATAGCCGTATGTCAGACTAAACGAAACATCGTAAATTAGATGAAAGAGGGGCGCCTCGGAATGAGGTAAATATTAGCGCCTTAGTCTGGTGGATCATTATCGCTAAGTTAGAAACAAAGAAAAAAAGTGTGGAATTATTATGTAATATCAGTCCTCTTATATAGCAGTAAACGGTGGACAGACAATATCCTGTCCTGGGTATGACGATAAACTACATCCGGTAGCAAGGCCTCCGATCGGGAGATTTTCAGGAGCGTGGAACCCCCCCACACACCTTAATTGCTGTTGTTCCCAGGTTCACCCTGATCCAGAGTGGTAGAACCTGTTAGGGTCCCAGGTGTGGGCAAATAGTTACCCCTCCCCCAACTGGGGTCAAAACACTACGAAAGAATAAAAATAGATTTACCAGCAATACATCTTTGAAGAAAAAAATGTCAGCAATAGATTTGACTATGGACAAAAAACCCTCTTTACAAAAATACGTCAATGAAACCTGATCTACAAACTGATTTCTTACAAAGAATACATATTCTAATCATATGAAACTATCCTAAAAATATTGTCGGCATTAAATAAGCCATTGAGGTTGATATGCCGTAAAGCAAAATAAAACAAATCAAATCAAACCGACCTAGCAGATTTGCTATACTTCTCGAAAATTGTGTTTGCGTATTCGTTTTCCCCTCGACAGAAAAGGAAAAGCTCTATTTGTTGGGTAATAAGAGATTTTCGAAACCAATCATTAAAGGTTGATTTTTTCCGAGTACCACACATTCATGGTCACGTGATGTTCCAGGCTTTATTGTCCCGAACCAGCTTTTATCAGGAAGATGAATGAAGATTTCCTGTTGAGATAAACACATTCTCCGTGTTGGTTTCATTCAGTTTCCAAATTAATGTTAAAAAAAGTTTGATCAAAACATCTGATCGAGAACGCTGTGAAGAAAAGATTCCCATTAAACTTTAAGCAGGACAACGGGCTTCACTTGTGTATTAGTCGATGCTTAAAATCCAATTAAAACAGAATTAAACTTTAAGCAGGACCACGGGCTTCACTTGTGTATTAGTCGATGCTTAAAGTCCAATTAAAACAGAATTAAACTAAGCAGGACCACGGGCTTCACTTGTGTATTAGTCGATACTTAAAATCCAATTAAAACTGAATTAAACTTTAAGCAGGACCACGGCCTTCACTTGTGTATTATGCGAAAACAAATATTACCAGTAATACATTTTAAAAATACATATTACCAGCAATAGATTTGACTCGACAATGGCAACAAAAAGGACTTCTTTTTCATAGCCCTCCACATCTTCCTGTCACCCGTAGCTTTTAATAAGTTGTATCCTTTTGTTATTTCTCCCAAACTCTGTCCTACCATCTATTTACCCAAGTTCATCAAGTATGTTACGCGCTGTTTTCCTCTGTCCCGCTTTTTTCAATCTGTCCTGTGAGTATCAGATTTTCCAAGCCCTCCTTCCTCATTACGTGCCCCAGAAATTTTACCTGCCTCTTCTTGATGTTAAGTATGTTTCTTCTTTGTTTCTATTCTCTCTCAACCTCGTCGTTGCTCACATGTTCGTCCTATGGTATCCTCAGCATCTTTCTGTAGAACCAGATTTTTGTTGCTTCAAAGTCTCTTCTTCATCTTTGAGGAGATTGTCCAGCATTCACTGTTATGTAGGTAGATATATATTACGTAACAGTTCAGTACTCTTTTCTTTGATTCTAACGAAATTTTCCTGTCTCTTAATACTCTGCTTAGCTTTTGGAATGCAGCTTTGGCCAACCCAATACGTCTTCGGATCACACTTATACTTAACATCAGGAAGAGACAGGTGAAATTTCTGGAGCACATAATGAGGAAAGAGGCCTTGGAAAATCTGATACTCACATGGCAGATCGATGGTGAGAGAGACGGAGGCAAGCTTGAGTGAATGGATGGTAGTACAGGATTTGGGAGAGATGGCGAAAAGACAAATTTTATTGAGAGCTACAAAGGACGGGAAATTTTAGGGAGCCAACGTACTGAAGAGATACAGCAAATAGAAGGAGGAGGAGGAGGAGGAGGAGATGAAAAAAGAGAAGGAGGAGGAGGAGGAGGAGAAGAAGAAGAATGAAAAGAAGAAGAGAAAAGAGGAGGAGTGGAAGAGGAGAAGAAGAAAAACAAGGATAAGAAGAAGATGATTAAAGAGGAGGAGGACGAGGAGGGGGAAGAAGATAAAGGAGGAGGAGGAGAAGGAAGAAAAAGAAAAAGAAGAGGGGAGGAGGAGGAGGAAAAGAAAAAAACAAGAAGAAGAAGAAGAAAGAGGAGGAGGAGGGGAAGAGGAAGAAGAGTAAAGAGGAGAAGGAGGGGAAGAAGAAGAAGAGGGAGGAGTAGGAGAAGAAGAAAATGGAGGAAGAAGAAGAGGGAGGAGGAGAAGAAATAGGAGGAAGAAGAAGAAGAAGAGAGAGGAGGAGGAGAAGGGGGAAGAAAAGAAGAAGAAGAAGAGTAAAGAGGAGGAGTAGGGAAAGAAGAAGTAGAAGAGGGAGGAGGAGGAAAAGGAGGAGAAGAGAAAAAAACACGAAGAAGAAATGTAAAGAGAGGAGGAGTAGAAGAAGAAGAGGGAGGAGGAGGAGGAGGAAGAAGAAGAAGAAGAAGAAGAAGAAGAAGAAGAAGAAGAAGAAGAATTGGATACAATCTTCATTGTGTGCCCATACTAGTGACTAGGATCGTAAATTAGAAGTCAACGGGGCACCCCAGAGATGGGTAAATATTTATGAGTTAGTTTCGTTGAATCCTGTCTATGTGCTCCATACTAGAGCTCTTGTGTTTAACAGATCACCTCATTATAGTGTAATGGCCAGCAAACTGAACGTGTGAATCATTAGAAGCGCGTTTGAGTGCACTATACTCGTGGCCTTGCCCCAAACTAAGCTACTGTTATGAGACAGACGTCATTTGTGCCATGCATGATACACGCTTATGCGTTCATGTATCTTTCGATACATGACTGACGAGGCAGATTTTTTTCCTGCAGTAGGTTGCCATTTCTTTCTGAGTAGACCAGTTGCCTGGCAAGGCTATAGAACCCGGTCTGTCCTGCTATTTATCCATAGCTGCGGGGGAGAAGAAGAGGATTCATACCTTTCCTAAGCATGTGAATGTAATATATTTGACTTGAATTCGAACTCGGCTCTCCGATTCCTCAGTCCAATATTCTACTATGTTTTTTCTTACTTTTCTTTCACCTTATTAGATTAATTGTCCTTTTACGTCATTATTGCTTCTGAAATTTTTCATGATTTTTATTCGCCATCTTTTAACGTATTTCTTTCCTTTCACTTTGTTTCTTATTTTTACTGCTTTTTTATTATTTTTTCTTTTTTTTGATCCTTTCTTTTTTTTCATTTTAATCTTTGTTATTTCCTGTCTTTTATTACTTTCTGTTTTTATTTTTTCTTTCTTTCTTTCTTACAATCTATCTTTCTTTATGCTTTTCTTTTTCTTTATTCTTTTCATTTTTACAATCTTTTTTTCTTTCGTTCTTTTTTTCTTTCAATCTTTCTTTCTTTCTTTCTTTCTTTCTTTCTTTCTTCTTTTCATTTTTCTTTCTTACAATATTTCTTTTTTCTTTCTTTCTTTTCGTTTTTCATTCTTTCCTACAATATTACTGATTACTTTTCTTTCTTTCTTTATTTTCATTTTTACTATCTTTCTTTCTTTCTTTTCATTTTTCATTCTTTTTTACAATCTTTCTAATTGCTTTTCTTTCTTTTCATTTTTACAATCTTTCTTTCGTTCTTTCTTTCTTTCTTTCTCGTTTTCATTTTTCTTTCTTACAATTTTTCTTTCTTTCTTTTCATTTTTCATTCTTTCTTACAATCTTTCTGATTGCTTTTCTTTCTTTTCATTTTTACAATCTTTCTTTCTTTCTTTCTTCTTTTCATATTACTTTCTTACAATCTTTCTTTTTTCTTTCTTTCTTTTCATTTTTTTAATTCTTTCTTACAATCTTTCTGATTGATTTTCTTTCTTTCTTTTCATTTTTACAATCTTTCTTTCGTTCTTTCTTTCTTTCTTTCTCGTTTTCATTTTTCTTTCTTACAATCTTTCTTTTTTCTTTCTTTCTTTTCATTTTTCATTCTTTCTTACAATCTTTCTGATTGCTTTTCTTTCTTTTCATTTTTACAATCTTTCTTTCTTTCTTTCTTTCTTCTTTTCATATTACTTTCTTACAATCTTTCTTTTTTCTTTCTTTCTTTTCATTTTTTTAATTCTTTCTTACAATCTTTCTGATTGATTTTCTTTCTTTCTTTTCATTTTTACAATCTTTCTTTCGTTCTTTCTTTCTTTCTTTCTTTCTTTCTCGTTTTCATTTTTCTTTCTTACAATCTTTCTGATTGCTTTTCTTTTCATTTTTACAATATTTCTTTCTTTCGTTCTGTCTTTGTTTCTTCTTTTCATTTTTCTTTCTTACAATCTTTCTTTTTCTTTCTTTCTTTCTTTTCATTTTTACAATCTTTCTTTTGTTCTTTCGTTCTTTCTTTCTTTCTTTTTTCTTTCTTACAATCTTTCTTTTTTCTTTCTTTCTTTTCATTTTTCTTTCTTTCTGTTTGCTTTTTTTTTTTTTTTCATTTTTTTCATTCTTGCTTGCTTGCTATCTTTCAACCTGCTTTTCTTTCTTTCTTTCTTTCTTTCTTTCTTTCTTTCTTTCTTTCTTTCTTTTTTTCTCAGTTCTACCCAACCTGACTTCTGTATCCCTTTAAGTAAAGAAAGATGAGAAAAGACCCTCCCTCTTGAATGTGGGCGCAGTTGCATACTTCCATATCAATCGCGTTGCTCGGGGGTCAGGACCAGATCTCAGATCCCAGATATCTTCTTTTATAACCAGACACTTCAACAAATTTCCTCCAATTTACAATGCAACATGCTTTTCTAAAACGTGCATTAGATTTTGATATTATTATTAGATTATTTTCACACGAAACCAAACGGACATTTTACAAGTTCTCTGAAAAAATCTCTCACTTGGGAGACGCCATATTCTCTTCAATAAAAGCTTTGACGTGTTCAACAATTTAGGAAACTGTCGTGTCGGTTTGGACTCGGATTTGAATTTCGTCTCGTTTTTCTCTCTTAGATCTTGGCATGGCTCCCAGAACACTAATTTCCATGGGAAAATTATTATAAGATTGCGAATAATAATAAAAAAAAAACTTCACCACCACCACCACAACTACCAGTCATCATCATTATTATCAACACCACTAACACCACAATCGTCATCACCACCACCCTCACCAAAATCCTCACCACCACCACCACAATCATCTTCATCATTGGCGTCCTGGATATGACGATAAACTACATCTACGTCCTTGGTAAGACGATAAACTACGTCCAACAGCAAGCAGTCCGATCAGGAGGTTTTGTGTAACGTGGAACCACCTCTAAATTGTTGGTGTTCCCAGGTCCACCCTAACCCGAGGTGGTAGCACATGTTAGGGTCCCAGCTATGGGCAAATACTTAACCCCCCCCCAAACTGGGGTCAAAACACTATGAAAGTGTAAAAATAGGTTTTAATACCAGAAATACTTTGTAAAAAATTCTTACCAGCAATACATTTTTGAAAAAAAAAAGAAAAAGATATTACTTGAAAATATTACCAGAAATAAAAATCTTGTCGTTACTAAATAACCCGTTGAGGTTGATATGCTGTAAACCAAACTAAACCAAACCAGCAATACATTTTTGAAGAAAATAAATATGACCAGCAGTACATTTTTGAAGGAAAATATTTATTACCAGCAACACATTATTGCCAGCCAGACATTTTTGAAAGAAAAAAAATATTACCAGTAATACATTTTTGAAAATAAAGGAATGAAAGTTACCAGCAATAAAAATCTTGTCGGCATTAAATAACACATTGAGGTTGATAAGCCGTAAAACAAACCAAACCCAACCAAACATCATCATCATCATCAATACGACTATCGTTTCTTCTCTACGAAATAACTGTAAGAGCATTCGATGACATTTTGTAAATAAAAACTAAAAAATTTACGAAATAATAATAATAATAATAATAATAATAATAATGAAGATTACCATCATTTTATACCATGTCAAAACACCAAAAAACACAATAAAAATTCCATTAGTCATCAACTGGCATCGAAATTTGAGTGGGTATTTCGAAATAACTACACGACAGCTATGAGCACATTGTGCAAAAATATCCGCATTTTAAAGAGATTTTTCCCAACCAAATTTCAAAAGAATTAAAAATATCGGTCAAATTTTAACAAATGTAAGCGTCCACATTCAAAACATTGGAGTTTCGGATCGTTGTGCTTCGGAAAACCCGTGCAAGAACATGAGTCAAATTAATTCTATCACAAATTCAAAGAGAAACATCACGGTTTCTACAGAGGGTGGCAATTGTACGGATTCCCATTTAATAGACACTATCCAATATGTGGGTTGCACAACGGAAAAATTAAATAAAAGATTCAATGGACATATGTATTATGTCAGACACAATAATATGACATCAATGGAACTTGGAAAACATTTTATTGCAAACAAATGTAATTTTGACAAGCATCTTAAGGTGCATAATCTGAAAAAATATTCAGAATCTACTGACCTTTCGATCCTTAAAACGCATGAGGATAATTACGTGTGCAAGTTACGAACTTCCTGTCCCAGGGGAATTAACAGAATCACAGGAGAGTTCCATAAGATTTTTTCTAAGCTGTTTGAATAATCCCTCTTAGTAAATAATCAACTAACGGAAAATTCCAAAATGAACAAAATCCGCCATCATATTAAGCACGTTTTAGTTTCATGCCTTCACGATGACGGCGTTTCATTTGTTTTGATGCGTTCATTACCAGTACAGCCATCTTTTTTTATTACAAGACAAGCAATATACATATACATATTGCAAGTTTAAGTCACGGGGTGTTTTTCACTAGGTGTCTTGTGTGTGTGAGGTATTTTGGTGTATGTAGGAGCGAGTGGTGACGGATTGATTCTTATGGTAAATTGTAAAGAATGAGTGGGATGTGAATCTGATTAGCTAGGTATAGTTTAGTTAGTGTCAACCAGCCTTGACCCATCAACCCCTATTTTTTGGCCTTGTGCCACAATTACTGTATTTAATCAGTAATAAATCGTAGACAAGTACCGTTTGTACAAACAATTATAATATTTTTTGTGTAGATTTATATAATTTATACTTGAAATTTAAAAAATATAACTTGAAGAAGACAGACATATTCTCTAAATAATAATAATAATAACTAGCAGTAGAGCCCGGCGTTGCCCGGGGATGTAACAGTAAGAGATAGATCAAGTATCGACCATCATAAAGACTGAAAAATAAAATTGACAAAGATTATTGTTTAAGGTTGACGGACACGCATGTCTTAATTAGTTTTTTTTTTTTTTTTTTGCTTTTTTTTTTACGAATTGGTCAAACCCAAACTCAAGCAAAAACATTGTTTTCAATCGTTATGAGTCTACCGATTGAATAGAATTTTATTATAAACAATTGTCTTGTAAATGGAATTTTTAAAGCATTCTGAATGTAAAAATAAAAAAAAAAAAGTGTGCAAGAGAATAAGAAACACTACCTGCCAAAAAAAGTGAAGTTTTGTTTAAATCGTTTGAAAAATGTAGAAAATCTGATCCCA